CCTCGATTTAGGCATGTCATCCTTCGTTTAGCTTGCACAGTGTACATTTCTTTTCTCGCTGAAAAACACCAACGACACTGAGGATATACAGAGCGCAAACTCCAGATCGCAGAATGATGGAGAGGGAGGGGGGGGGGGGAACGAAGGCAAAGAGATTTCCAATCGGGGAAATGCCATATCATCGGGATTGTAAGAAGAAGGTTTTTTTTTTTTTTTTCTCGATTTTTGCATGTCATCCTTCCACACTCACCATGTCGTTCTCCTTTCTCTGCATCGTTCCAGTTTTGACAAATGTCCCGAAGCACACCTGACTACGGTGTTTAGCTTCCACAGTGCACAGAACGCTACAGAGCGAGGGGGGCGAGGGAAGGGAGGGCAGGAGAACGGAGGAACTCCGGATTGAAGGTGGGGAAACGATCGTGACCGGATGAAAAGGAAGGAAAAGGTGGGCACAAATACACAGAGGTTCGGAGGCGAATACGGAGCGGTTCCGAGCAGAACAGGAAGAAGACGGGAGACAATTCCAATCAGGAAAATGAGCCAAACAACATTTGGCATGCTGTGGTATAAACCCGCTCGCACACAGCCACGCAACAAATGAAGACGCCGGCACAGGAAACACAAGGCAACAATACTCCGAAGAACAAAAAAAAAAAAAAAACAATCACGCTCGGGCGTCGCCCAACTGCCGATCATACCAAGAGTCGATTGACAAAAAAAACAAGTATGCTTGCGCAAATGCAAATAGGGGGTCGCGCAAAACAAACAGCAAGCGAGTATACTTGCGAAAATGGACAAAGGTTCGTCATCTCTATAAAAAAAAAAGAGCGTCTACAACCAAAATTTGTGTTCGCATGACATCCCCACAAATTTTTTTTTTCTCCCCTTAAAATACAACAGACTCATTTGCCTCCCTACCTTGAAAGAGTTCTGTTTTCTCGAATCTATGCATCGCACAATGCAATGTGTTTATCTCAATAATCTCCTTTTTCATTGAACTTCTCTCTGTTCTCATGATCTGACAATTAATTGTTGTGTGCCTTTTTCCCCCGTGCCATATTTCTCGCTTTTGATCTCATTGCTCAGCTGACCCTTCACAATTGCATATTCAACACGCTCACCGCGAACACAACCGTAGACAGTTTCATGTTCACAGAATTTCGCCCCGTGTGAATGCTGCTTGCCTTTACACAACTAGACTTATTCTCCACGACACATCCGTTGATATTGTCTCCCTTGGTGATCGCACTCCCTGCACTCACTGTGATGCTGAGAAATGGCCGCATGAGCACGCATGAGCACGCATGGACTACACTCTGCTGTCGTCGTGGAGGTGTTCACCCTCCTCTCTGGCAATATCCTCCACAACAAACACCTGTTCATCAAATTCTCGATCTTTGGCAGTCAAATGGTCGTCAAGGTCGTCTCCTGCGCTCTCGTGCACGACAGTTTAACAATGCACTTGCACTCGCCTCACAAATCGTCCGAGAAACGCACCCTCCACACGGAGCCTGGCCTGGCATGCTAAGAATTGTTGGCCACATGCATCAGAATTTGGGACTGCTTTTGCCAGACCCGGATCAGCAACCAGCATTTGCACAACTATATATCTACGATCCTTTGGACAATAATGATGCAACAATTGTCCAGCTTGCAAGATTCGAGCTCCCACCTGATATGCCACTCTCCACTGTTGCTCAAATCAAACACCTCCTTCGGAAGCTCTATCGCCTACTTCGCTCATGTAACCATTGGGTTCAAGAGTTTGTCACTGTTTCGGAAATGCCTGAAGAAATGATCCAAGAACGCCATATATTAATCAATCCTGATGCCCGGCCCGTTAATGAACACGATCGACGTTATAACAGACCACAAGGTCTGCAGGAGTTGTGTTTGTTGATGGCTGATACACCTTCCATCCGAGAAATTCTTATACACCGACGTGGCTGCGGTGTTTTCCCTATTCCTGAAACAAATCGTGCATTTGATCCACTGCACTATGTTCTACTGTTTTCCT